AAAAATTAACTACTGTGGTAATATAACCCAAACTGTGATGTCCATGCATGTGGTCTTACGAGGTTAAAAGTTGACCCCATATCCTCAGTGCACTCATTTCAAGTATTTTCTGATGAATTATGAGAGAACAGAAAACACATCTATAACACCGATGCATGTTTCTATGACTCTGTGAAATGAAACTGGTAAAGCCTCACTGTTGAAACTATGACATAACTCGTGACACTGAGACTCAAAGACGGTCATAGAGACATTTGTGCTGAACATAAAGGAGATTTGGGCCTCAGATTATGACTGATGTAAAATTAATTTGCAGATTTTAACACAGCCCAAATGTGCTTTTCAGAGAAAAACAAAACAACAACAACTTTTGAGCCATCCCTATGTACCTGTAGGGCCTGTAACTGAAAATATTCATAGTATCAGGATACAGTTTTATGGCTTCATGAGCAAAACTAAAGTTAATGTACATAAAAATCATCTGATTCTGGTCTGCTTCAGGTGATTGATTTTTCATGGCATGATCCATCCATTTTTCTTGTCCTGTTTTATTATTTCGTAGACTAATATCTAAATTAATTGGTACGAGTGTCAAATATCTGAAAATCAGTGGCAAAGTGATTTGATGAACAATTACAGCCAAAGATTCTCATTTACACACTTTTTCATGAATGCATTCAGTCTGAAATGGGAGTTAGAGCTCTCTAAAACTTTGAGTTGTCAAAGTTGGTCAAGTTAACCCTCCTATTGCCTTCAAATTTACTGACATATTTTATCCTTGGGGTCAATTTGACCCCAGCAATTTAAACTTCCAGAAAATTATCATCATTAGGGCCCGAGGACCCCTACTTGTTAAAATTGTTACCCAAATTAAGGTGAAACTGAGTTAAATCTATCAAAATCTGTCACCTGTCTGTGATAAAAGCAACTATGCAGAAGCAGACTTACTGCACAGCTTTGTTTTGTGTCCAAGATTACAAGGGTTCTGGTTGGAGATCGTCTCTGTTTTGACAAAGGTCCTGAAGGTGCAAATGAAACCCGATCCGGTGATAATCTTATTTGGCTTCTCAGAAACTTCCTTGAAAGCTCAACATTGTTTATTCTCTTACGCAATTGTGCTAAGAAACGGATTCTGCAGCATTGGAAGGGGGCAGAACTTCTGTCTTTCAGCCACTGGACAACGATACTAACAGATACCCTCCACCTAGAGGAAATCAGACATGCCTTGATAGACAGATTGGAGGAATATAAGTAGATCTGGGGGCCAGTGATCACGTTTTTATAGACTATTCGTCACTCACACAGCGCTAACATGGAGTGTCTCTGTCAGTATGTTTGTTTAGTTATATATTAATAAGGAAAAATCAACGAAGCCCTGATTTGCACAAGTTGTTGTGTATGTTCTGGACTTTTTTTGCTTGCTTCCTAATAAAAATATTTGAAGAGGGCCGCCGCTATAGCTCAACTGGTTGAGCTGGTGACCCATGTACTGGGGCTATAGTCCCCAACATAGCGGTGGTGGGTTCAAATCCAGCCCATGACCATTTGCTGCAGGTCCTTCCCTCACTCTTCCCCCCACTTTCCTGTCTCTCTATTGACTGTCCTGTCAAATAAAGGCAAAAAAAAAAACTTGAAACTAAAAATATATATTTGAAGAGAAAATTGCTACCCAAATTTATACGTAAGTAACGCTTTAATTAAAAGTGGAAAATCATGTCACTTATTTAGAGAACATTGAATGGGGTCAAACTGGGGGGTTAATAAGTCGTGATGCCTCATTATTGATGTGTAGGTGACACATCTTTTCCACGCGCTCCTGGAGGCGGGGCACATGCGCACTGGCCGCCGCTCCGTCCGTCCCCCTCCATAGACGATCTGTGAGCGGACCGTAGTATTCGCTCTGGAGAAAAGCTGCTCTCCCGCTGGCTGCTATGACCGAGCTACCGGACGGCACTTTCTGTTTTCAGCACTGACCGCTGCCTTGGAAGAAAAAACACTTTTTTTGCGGCATTTTTTGGCAACCGTACATTCAGCATACCGTCGTTTATGGTTGCATTCCCGCGACTTTTTAATCGTAGCTGCTGGCCTCCGGGGCTAGCTGGCTAGCCGAGCGGTGACAGAGTGGAGCCAGCTGGTCGGACGCAGACACAGGGACGTTAGCAAACAAGCTAATTAGCCAGAAAGACTGAGCCTGGATTACTGTGTTTAATCAAAGACAGCGCAGCTCTGCGGCTTTACTCACTGCGGCAAAAATGAAGATAACTGTGGATTTCGAGGAGTGTTTGAAGGACTCCCCGCGGTTCAGGTGAGTGTTGACAGCCGGGCTTTTTTTTTTTTTCTTTTTTGTCCCGTTTAGTTTTTATTTATTCGTCCCGGGGTAAAAGTCTCCAGCTAGCCGCTTGCTAACCCACGCCAATCAGCAGTAAGTAGCTAGCTGTTTGTTGCCTGCTACTTTTCTATTTTTGTCCCTAAGAAAGCTGGGCCCAGCCTGGTGGGGCAAGAAACCAAACACAAACTCACTGAGCCCTGTGGTGAGCACAAATGTGCAGGAGAAGGCTGCTCCAGTGACTGTTTTCTGTACATAAATTATGTAAAGAAAGGAAATTATATTAAATATGAATGAAGGAAATTACAGTCTTTGCTAGTAGCCTTGACTGGCATGATAGTGTATAGTACTGTGTCCTGTTCTGGCAACTAAGCATTGATTTTGGTTTATTTTTCTGAATTTAGCACCATATATTAGATTGTACTGCACTTTCTCACTTACCCAGAATTATACATTATTGTCAGCAGGGCACATGAATTACAACAACATTTTTTATTTATTATCAGTTTTCTTTCTTTGAAAATGTCAGGGGAAAAAAAAGCCTATCACCATTTCCCAAAACCCAGATCCACATATTCAAATTACTCCTGTTGTCCAACCAGAAATCCACAACTCAGGGCATTTATTACTAAATATAGATTAAATTATTTGCTTTTTGAAAATATTCACATTTCTCAAATCAACAACTTTAGTGCTTTTTTGCCTATATGATTACTGATTATCAATAATGTGTTTGCTGATCCACTGATTATTCCAGTTTTCCCACCAACACAGTAGCTAAACATCCTAAACCTCACCATCAGCGCTGGTCAGCTGCTTGATGTTCATGTGATGTATTCCTGTCATTACTGACATCTTCTCTCACAACCTCTTTTTTTCACCCTTACGTTCGTTTTTCATTGTGAACTTTTTACCTCATCAAGCCGAAAAGTTGTGTAAAATGTTTGCTCTCGACTCCCTCCTTGCATTTTCCCGTGTTTTGAGAAAGCATCTCCCTCCTTCCTCCTCAGCCCCCGCGCTCTCTGCTGCTGCTGCTGCAACATCCTCTCACACAGAAATGAGGAACAGATGTTAGAAAGTTGTTTGCAGAAGACTTGGACTTTTTTTTTTTTTATATCAGAGCATATCCTTCAGGATCATATTTAAGGAGGCTGAACAAACGGAAACATCCCAGTCAGTTGAGTGATTTAACACTCCATAACCAGAATAACTGCCCTGCTGTTGCTGTTGTAAATTAACTTTGTGTAGCCGAGTGGTGGCCCGTATTTTTTACGTGTATTTCCTAAAAGTGTGGCAGGTGGTCGGTGTGCTTGGTGTTATTCGAACACGCTGTCTAGTGTGAAGCTTCTTTGTGTCCTTCCACTTTTGCAGCATCACTATCATCACACACACTTTTAGCGGATGTCAGGTACCACAGCGCTGAGTCACTGCAGACAGTCTGAAGTTGTCTGTATCAGTGATGTACAGTTCTGAAACAGAGATAGGAAACTACTTCAGTCAGACCACATATGCTGCGTTGAACATTTCTTGTTCCCTTGAAACTGATACCTTCAACCAATGCTTTGGTTAAAGCCTAAGTTTATATGTGACACATCCCAGGGTGGATTTTCCAACAGAACTTCAAATGATGCCTTCTTTCCTATTTAGTTATTTGTATTCAAGGCCTCCCGGATTATTAATAAGTAAATCCAAAGCATGCCGTCATTGGCCTGCGCCAAATCCTTTGTTGAATTTGTGAAATTTTCAAACATCAACACCAACTTTGTCAACCAAATGGGCATGCCAGCTCAGTTCTTTCTGGTACGACTACTGCTGCTCTTATTAAAAGACCCCGCACTGCTGGTCCTGCTTAATTGGATCTGTTTTGTGCTTGTGTGCAGATGCTACATGACTGACACTTCTCTGACAGCCTGTGACTCATCTGCACCTGTTAGAAGTGACAGCTTTACTTTATCATTGCTATTGGCTCATTAAGTTGAGAGATTAGGGCCTTTAAAAACACCTATTTGCAGTGACAAATGCATAAAGTTTGGGTGAGATTGTTATCACCGATTTGTTCAGTTAATTAGCTGCTTGACATCTGTAATTGAGTTTTCTAAATGTAGACTCGGACTATGTTAAGGTTCATGGGAGTCATAAGAGTCATGGGATATTATTGAAGGAACTCTTTGCTATGTTCCCTATTTGTAGACTAAAGGATCAATTAATCCCTTTAAATGGTCCGTTAAGCTATAGTTAGAAAGATCATCAATCCATTTATGCAGTGGTTTACATTTTCTCTACAAACTTACTATTATACTATATTGTTGAAATGCTACGACTGCTTTCTGACAGCCAAGTCGATGTTGATTAATCCTCTCTGGCAGAAAATATATGCGCCAAAATCTTTGCATCTAACCGAGGTTTCCTTACACAGCTTGTTCTTGGAGGAGAAAGTCATTCTGTAAACTGTATGTCCAACTTATTCTGCCTCGAAATGGATGTGAGAGAAAGCTGACATTTCATTTGTGGATGGAAAAATCAGAGCAAGACCACGATATCATAGCTGATAATAAACATGACGATTTTATGAACAGATGTGTAATATAGAAAGTACCACTCTACAAAACCAGTCCCAGTGGAATAAAACATAATGGATAAATGCACCTCCAGAATATCAGCATTGCAAACGCCCTCTAGTCCGTGTTTAACTAAATTGCGGTCAGAAGTCCAGCTAAGCATATAGCCCCGTCTCCGTCTATATTTTAGCGACCGTTGCCCCTTTGGGAGTGTCATCTGTCAGCACTTCCGGACTTAAACTCCGCTGTAGATTCATCACCGGTTCGTAGCTGTCAGACACGGTCGCAGCAGAGTTTTCCACTTCGAACACCACAGTTTTACTCTCATTTTTCCAACCCCCACTAGTTGTGTTTGGCCAGAGAAGACGACAGCGGGAGAGAAAGAGAGAATGGATGAAAACATGGAATATACACCAGTAATAGAGCAGCTCTCACTTGCCCAACATCTGTTTCCATTTTGGTGTTTGCTTTCAACTTTGTGCCAGAGAATATGGAGCCCCCAAATGTAGAGAGGGTTGTTTTTAAGTGGTAATTTGGCACATCCCACATATTTTTTTTTTTTTTTTTACTCTCATCCTCATTTTAGTTGGGAAACTGTCTTTGGTCATAAACCATGCTTACAGCCCAGAGGAGACGATGCACTAGTGCAAAAATTATGTATTTTTGGCACTAAACCCTAGTAGCCTAGTTTCCACTTGAGAATAGACATTGGACTTGGCCTCGAGAGCTTTCCTGGCCCCTCTTCAAGTATGATAGTTGAAAATTCCCTTCAGAGTGCTGTGGCTTTTCTCCCCACATGTATAAGAACAAATGTTTTACATATTTTATATGTCTTTCCATCCTGCAGGGTCTCCAAGAAAACCAACATCTGTAATGTGTTTTTTTCGTGCCAAATTAGCTATGTGTTGTTTGTATTAGTAGCTTAAGACCCATAATAAAGACGGTCATTTTGGACTAAATTCCCGTCCAGCTGAGCAGAACATCTGTGAAGCTGAAGTGTGACAATATCAGCTCTAAATGGAGCACACAGGAAAGCAAGAGATTGGACTAGGATGGATATATTTTCAAATCTAGTAGACGTTAATTGCCCAGAAGTGAGCTAATTTCTGTAATTAGCAGCAACGTTTCTCCCTTGTCTTAATCATTATACGGCGATTGCACACAGCTCATTGGTTTTGCTGATTCTGAGCTTGGAAGAGTGCCATCCTATGAAGTCACTGGTCCAACATCGTCTGTTGCAGTTTCCCCTGAGTCACTGACAGCAGCTGTAGAGGCAACACATCACTGACAGACTTCTCTCACACAGAACCCAGAGCCCGACGACGAGCTGCTCATACGCCCTGATTAGTTTCCCATGGGAGCCCAGCTGAAGGCTGATTAGCATGCTGGGCTTGTTGTCGTTTGCTTTAATTGAGCTGTGGTCCATTTCATTTTAGTGGTGATAAATAAAGTCAATTAACAGTTAATGTAATGTGATGACTGTGTGCAGAACTCTAGCGGTGCAGTATTTCACAAAATACTGAGCCATAAATACCAGAAACTTGATATGCATTCACTTTTAAGTAAAGAAAATGACATTTACTTTTTGATTGAAGCCGTTAGAAGGAGTTGTATTAATTAGCCGATGTGCAGGATATTACTCAACTATTTAGATGATTTGTTAAGTATTTTTAAAAATCAAAAACATTGTCTGTTTCCAGCTTTTATGAAATATTTGTCTGTTTTTTATTAGTTATTTAGCTTTGACATCTGAACATTTCCTCTTGGATTTTTGAATTGCAAGTGGGCTTTTTCTCAGAATATATTTTCAAAATCAATAATTAAATATACATAGTTATAGCCGTCCCAAGTATTTACTCCTGTTTGTATTTTCCCACCTACAGGGTAAAGGAGTGACAACATTAGCACGTTAGCCTGTCAGCCACATTGATTTCTCAACCTTTGCTGTAGAAACTCTCACCCACTCCTCAGTCTGCGTGTTTCCTTCCTGCAACTTTGACACAGAAAAATCCGAGGATGTGCTCTAATTGCAAAACTGGCCTCAATTAATCATTACAACACCAAGCAGAATTTCCCAAAGCTTGTAAGCGTTTATCTTTAAGTAATGACTTCATCTTGTTGATGCTGTTGAAGCATCTAATGGTGGGATTTGCCGTAGCAGGACCCCCCCTCCGATGTTACCACTGCGCCACTCTCTAACAATTACAGGATCTACGTCACGGCCCTGACGCTCACCCCATTCTTCACGTTTCCATCCACAGTAGCAGATTCAAAGTGTTGAACTGTTATTCCCCACCGGTGGAATAAACCCTTATCGTGCCCATTGGTCAGTTTTCGTGGCAGACTGTAACTTCAAAAAAACAACAAAGCAAACACCACATGTCCTCTTCTTCCTGTATCTTAAAACGTTATTAGCCACAG